TTTTTGTCTTTGAGTAACGTGGGCATGTTGTGTCTGGGAAATGTGAAGTGCCAGATAAATTTGTGGGTTAATTGCCACGTGACCACAGCAGAGTGTCAGAGTTCAAACACACAGCTTGACAACACAGTAGACGGCCAACACGCCATACGCCTGATGGACGGCCATCATGACGGATCGACGGCCAACATGACGGAAGGACGGCCAAACAACGCTAGGACGGCCAACATGACGGAAGGACGGCCAACACGCCATACGATGCCTAGTTAAACGGCCTGCAACTTCTCTACCTACAACTAATATTGGACCATGGCCGTCTAGTGTTGTGACAGAACTTGACGCTTCTGATTGGCCCCTCCCAACACCCACCTCCATCACTCTAGTAGACCATAACAGCAATGGAGGCTGGAACCCAACCCTCTTGTCGGTAGACCTTAGGTCTAATACTACACCATCAACCTGCAGGAGATGTAGTTAGGTGGGGGGGGGGGGGGGGGTAGAGCGGCGGACCTGATGACCCCGGCACCACGTGACAGAGGAAGACAAAAACTGTTTGTGGAGTGACTCACGTATCGTCTGCCGGGCAAGATCAGACGACTTAGAAACTTCTAGAAATCTTAGACCAACATTGTTTCAATTTCCACATCCCAGAGGAGCCCTGGATGTGTGAGTACATACAGTGTTGGTGTCATGCGCGTGAGTACTCTCTCAGGTGAGGATTAGAGAGACTTCCGGGGTGAGCAGGTCGAGGGTTAGATTTGTCATAGGGAGGGTCTGTGAACTCTTTGACCTCGACCTAATGATGTGGGGAACAACATCGTGATGTGGAGAACAACATCGTGATGTGGAGAACATCGTGGTGTCGAGAACAACGTGAAATCAAGAATGGGGGACTGCCTCAAGATGTAGGTACACACCCAGTTGCTACAAAAAACAAGACCACTGTTTTGTGACCATTAGTTTGCTACCCTGCTTACACTAAGCACTATTGTAAGCCACACACTATACATTATATTATATATTACACACTACACAAACACACCAGACATCACACACTACACAAACACACTACACATCACACATCACACACTACACAAACACACTACACATCACACATCACACACTACACAAACACACTACACATCACACACTACACAAACACACTACACATCACACACTACACATTACAGTCTACATTTTGTCAGCTACAGGGCTGTCATCACGTGACTCCCGCACGTGTCTTCTGATGGCTGGAATGTCTCGCGGTGCCAGACAGCTGATGCCATCGTCTGCTGTCTATGCAGACGATCAGAGTGCTAATTCCTGCTTGATGGCGCGCCAAATTCTATGTGGCACCTTAGAAGTGGTTGGATACAGGTGATACATATGGTGAGGTGGTGTGTTGTGGTGTTGAGGTGAGGTGGTGTGGTGTGGAGTTGAGGGTGTGTGGTGTGTTGGTGTGGTGGCGTGGTGGTGTGGTGTGGAGGTGTGGTGGTGTGGTGTGGAGGTTAGGTTGTGTGGTGGGGTGTTGTGGTGTGGTGGTGTGGGGAGGTAGGTGTGATGAGGTGGTGTTGTGTGTGGTTGCGTGGTGGTGTGGAGATGTGATGTGGTGTGGTGTGTTGTGTGTGGTGGTGTGGTGGTGTGGGGAGGTGGTGTGGTGCGATGGTCTGGTGGTGTGGTGTGGGTAAAAATAGAAAGCAATGTTTTGTCTAGCACACAAGGTAGCGACGACCTGGATGAACAATGTGACATTTGAACACACCAGGGACAAGGACTTTTGTAGGCCAGGGTTCATGGACTCAACCCAAGGTCAAGGTCGATTGACATCAAGTGCAAGGACAATCGCTGCTATGAGCGTAAATTATTTTCATGAGTCTTTCAGCAAGAATTGACTGAGAAATGTGAAGTGACTGAGGAATGTGAATTGACTGAGAAATGTGAAGTGACTGAGAAATGTGAAGTGACTGAAAAATGTGAAGTGACTTGCAGATTAATATGAGGTGTCTAGGGAGAAAATACGACGCGACAGAATGGCGATTGATTAAGTCAGAAAACGTTAAGAGACGGAGAAATGTGAAATGTTTCACAGAGAAATGTTTGGTGTCTACAAGTACCTCGCCTAACTAGACCCCAGTATCTTTAGACTATCTTTTTTGTTCTTTCAAAATTCGACTTTTTAAGGCAAACACACGAAACTACATAACGTGTATTTTGTTAATAAAACACCAACCACATCTTCCGGTATATAAATATGAACAAATCCTCATCAGATAACAATCAACACCCCCACAACACCCCCACAACACCCCCACACCACCCCCACACATCCCCATCACCTAGCAGATAACCATCACACCCCCACACCACCCCCACACCACCCCCCACACATCCCCATCACCTAGCAGATAACCATCACACCCCCCACACCACCCCGCACCACCCCTGTTACCCGCCCCTATCACCTCTTGCATAATCAACCAGCAGTCATAAATCAGGGAAGTTCACTCTAAACAGATAGTTAGCCTAGATGCTTATCTCCTCTACCCAGTCTTACGACACATAAATAGCCGACTGGGGCTGTGCTTGTGGGTTCCTGTTGTAGATCCTCGCGAGAAGTTTCAATCAAGTTTTTGAGCTAATTAAGTCATAATGAGCTAAGGACTGACCCAAGAAAAATATCGTCATGATCATGTCGGTTTTCTCTTGTGTTATTTGATGTAAGTTTTCTCTTCTGTTATTCGATTACATCTTCTGTAAAACGACTTAGAAATACCTGACGTAGACAGAACTCTGTTACATAACGATAAAAATGTCAGCCTTAGTAAGCTCTGGAAAAATATATTTAAAAAAAACACCAATAAAAATAACAAAACGTTGTAAACAGTAAGAAAAAATTTGGCTTGAAATCACAGGAACTTTTTTTGGGTGAAATCTGTGGGGGGGGGGGGGGGGGAAGAAGGGGGAGAAGGTGGGGGAGGGATCGGGGTGTGGATGTGCTGCCACAGCAGGGTCAAAGGTTGTTACAGCAGTACTGGGTGGTGACACCATAGGGTGTTCTGACACCATATGTGTGGTGACACCTGGTAGAATGTTGGCACTCTATAATATGTGACTCCCAGATGTCAACACATCTAGCCCTTCCAGATGACAATAGATCTAGCCAATCAAGATGTCAACAAAGTAACAATATGGTTTTAGTTTGCTCTTGTAGTGTTACATCCCTTTATTTTTCCCTTTCCTTAACACCAATGTAGCCTTAGACCCGGCCTTTAAGAAGGAACTTCTTGATTTGTGCAGACGACACGAGCGCCCAGCAAACAACGGTGCCATTAGCCCAGATGCCGCAGCCTGACGATAAGAGTGCGATGTTTACCAGGAGATGGCGCAACGCTTCCAGCCGGCTCTGCCAAAGTACGTCGTTAGCCGTGAGTTGCCGGTACCGGCGAACTAAACAGGTAATTCTAGAGATCTATCTCCGCCCGGCTGTTTGGTTAACTCGCGCCACGGAGTGCGCTGGGGGGTGGGGGCCCTAATTTAACCATTTAGTCACTAGGAGTAGGGAGGGGTGGGGGGGGGGGCTACAACAACAGTTGACCCTTTGAGGGAGTATCGATAATGGGGTTTAACTCGCGGGTGTAGGGTGTTTCTGTGGAGGTGTTGTCGAGAAGGTGTTATTGTGAGATAGCCAACACCCCTGATGTAGCCAACACCCTGATATAGCCAACACCCCCGATGTAGCCAACACCCCCTGATGTAGCCAACACCCCCGATGTAGCCAGCTTTACTTCGTACCAATAATTCAGGCCGTATATCCACAAATTCGGATTTAAAAAATGCGATTTTAAAAGAAAAAAAATCTGTAATATCGTAATCAAACAAGATTAACCGCTGTCTCACCCGACAACACTGTGATACATCCCATACACACCCCAACCACATCCCAACCACATCACAACCACATCCCAACCACATCCCATACACACCCATACACACCCATACACATCCCATACACATCCCATACACATCCCATACACATCCCATACACATCCCATACACATTTCTCCACAGCTTCTACTAGTCTTCTATATGTGGACTGTCCACATTTTCATGTAACCATGGTTACAGTGAGCTACAGGCCGTGGTTGTATAAGCTAGAGAACATTCCAGTACAACATACCCTCCCAAACTATAACCATATGGTAGTACAGATGGTGTGGTTGATTTGATTAGTTTAATTACTGACGTCACAACAATTAATTACTTTAAAAGTCACTGAAATGTTGCCTTCTGATCACATTTTAATACCGTATCTATATTTCACATTTAAATATCACATGCAAGTATAGATGTTGAATATAACATTGAAATAAAAGATTTAAATAACACTCTTATATATTTCATTTAGAAAACGCAGTTTCCTTAAAGATACATAGGCCTACAGGGATGGCATTTAATGAATCGGGACTTTTTCAAACGTTGCGTGTTCGAGGCTTTGACACAAACAAATGGAGGTATGGGGGAGCTAACTCTCTCAGCTAGCAACTACCCAAGTACAGGGAGCTAACTCTTCTAGATAACAACTGTCCAAATATGCCCTTATGTCTTGTGCATTTCGGAGAAACAAAATCCTAACCCCAAATAGTCAAACAAAACCCGAACTCCAACACAGACACACACACACACAGGCGAAGACCGTCAAACTGGAAATGAAAAACGCGCTTTCCACCGCATGACTAACGAAACATTTCTCAAAATTCACCTTTTTCAAAAATTTGATTCACGAGATTTGTTTGACAAGGTGATGACCATCCTTTATTAATTAAATTTTTTTTCTAACCGGATGGCGTTCTAAAAATTAGGCAGGCAATATCAAACGAAAAGAGTAAAAAAAATTGTAAACGATTGAAACAATTAAATAACAAACAAACTTTCATAATCAAGTTAGAATTTTTTTATATTTGTTAGTTTTTAGAGCCGGAAAATTCCGGCGAAAGTAATCTTACCTTGAGGCCGAAGTTTTTCCAAGTTTTGCAGAAACAGACAAAGCTGAATCAGTTTTGTAGACAGACAGACAGACAGACGCAGTGGAAATGTGTAGGACTGGCTAGCGGTGCTGCTTCCAGGTACGTCTCTCGCCTCGCCTGGTTCCAGAGAGCTGCAGCTGACAGGCCAGGTAAGCCAGGTAGGCCAGGTAGGCCTCGTTGGCCAGATTTTTACGCAATAAATGGAATCTCGAGATGCGAATGGAAACATTAGGACTTGATTGAAAACACTGAAAGATCGGCCTGTTTAATATATATGTATCATTGCTGATGGGGGAGGGGGTGTTGTATGTGGGGGGAGGTCATTTTGGAGGGGAATCATTTTTTAGGTTCACTGTAGAAGATTATTGGGTGTGGGGGGGGTAGCTAAGGGGAATCAGCCTTGTAAACAGAACAATTAAAGTAGCATGTAGTTTGAGCAAAATTGGTCGGTAGGTCAATTCAAGATTGATGAAAAGGGGCAAAGGTGACCTGTGTAAGACAACAGGCAAGCTAGACAGCTGACAAGTCGGACAACAGGCAAGTCAGACAACAGGCAAGTCAGACAACAGGCAAGTCAGACAACAGGCAAGTCAGACAACAGGCAAGTCAGACAACAGGCAAGTCAGACAACAGGCAAGTCGGCAACAAGTAACAGGACTAGGCAACTCACTTGAAAACATTAGAGGAAGGTTGAATTGTTTGCTGGGTGGAGCGGGGTGGGGCGGAGTGGGAGCGTGTAGGCAGGTAAACTGAAGGGCAGGGGGCAGAGGGGTGTTCTGCTGAGGTAAAAACCTGGGGTCGAGCAGGGAGGAGGGTTGGGCCAGGGGGGTGAGTCAAGGCAGAGTTTTGTTTGAGGGTATTGCCAGTCTGGGCGGTTGAGATGAAATAAAATGGGAAAGATAATTTTGTGAGGCTGGGAAGAATGGGGCATTGGGATGTAGTTTTTGGGTGGAATTCTGGGTACAACTTTAGGAGGATACAATATTAGGATACAATCTTAGGATACAATCTAAGAAAAATACAATCTTAAAATAAAATAGGATATAATTGTCTAATTAGTGTTGTACATCACAGCTTTGGAAATACACCAAACATACATAGTTATGGGCGAATTTATTCTCCCATTTTTTCCGAGTGAACTCGCGCTCAGCATTGCTGGAGGTAATTGGGTGTTAAATGAAATGTTTATAAACTGTCCAGATGTAAACACAAGCAGCAAGAAGAAAACAAGACATTTGAATTGACAGTCCGTGCTAAGGATGTATAAGAAATGGAAGTTGATTTGGCAATGAAACAGTAGTACCTGATCTGCAGTACTGGTGTGTTCGCCAAAGCTGCATTCAAAGAGGAACTGGAAATCAACTGGAAAGAATTTAGAGGGGTGTGTGGGAGGGGTGTTGGTCACTGTGTGTGGGAGGGGTGTTGGTCACTATGTGTGGGAGGGGTGTTGGTCACTGTGTGTGGGAGGGGTGTTGGTAACTGCGTGTGGGGTGTAACGGGGAGGAATTTTTGTAGCTGTGTGGGGTGTAATGGGAAATGGTGTTGTTGGTTGTTTAGGAGTGTGGAATGGGGGAGGGGTGTAAGTTTATGTGTGGGGGTGTGGAATGGGGAGGAGTGTTTGTGGCTGTTTGTGGAATTGAATGGGGAGGGGTGTTTGTAGCTGTGTGGGGGAGTGGAAGGGGAAGTGGTGTTAGTAGTAGTACGGTTGTTAAAACGTGAGCTTTCACCCTGACAGAGCCTCAACGCTCATGGTATGTGTGTATGGTTAAGTTGATACATGAAGATTTACCCCGACAGAGCCCCAACACTTAAGAAAACGTGAAAGTTTTGAGCCGATGGGTAGGTATGTCGGGGGGGGGGGGGGGAATGGCAGGAGATAAGACAGTGGGGTGGGGACTGCATGTGTGAAGGAATATGTGTGTGAGTGTAGCATGTGTTGCGTGTGTGTATGTGAGCGGTGTGTACGTGTTGGCCTGTCGACGGTACACAAAATAAAATGCAACAGAAAATAAACCGGGAGTGATCTTCCCTAAACTTTCTCGAATATTTTTATATAAAATAACAGGGGATGGGAACTCGGGCTATAGACATGATTTTTAATCCATTTTAAATACTTAAAGTTTTAAAAATAGAATAAAATCTCGTAGACAAATTAATTGCACACCAAGTGAACGCGAAATAAAAAAGCGCATAATAGTGCGCAATATTATTAGTACTTTTAAAATTTACATTAGTTTTTTGAGAAATCGGAAGTGGCGTAAATTACTACTTCCAGTCAACGGAAATTACTCAAAATTTAACAGAAGGTAGAGAATTAGATCTTTTACTTACATGTGAAATTTCATTTATCTATCTGAAATAGTACTCAAGTTATAGGCTTTTAAAAAATTCAAAGTAGGAAAAGTACCACTTCCGGTTATCGGAAATCGCTCAAAAGTTGATACGGATCTACGATTTTGATGAAATACTTATATATGAAATTTCATCAACCTAGCTGTAACGGTACTCAAGTTATCGTGTTTACACACGGACAGACAGACAGACACACACACACACAGACATACGGACAGAATTGCAACGCCCAGTTTTTCAAACTGGATTACGCATAAAACCTCTTAATTTTGATAAATCTGGATTGATAATTTTTGCCCGATTAAAATAAGTCCTCTATACTTCGGATGTGATGAAGGACTGAGGTGTAATACGGTAAAAATTGTTAAAATTTCAATTGATTTTTGTGCACGATTACAATACTTTCTCTATACTTCGTATATACGAGAAAGTAAAAATTGAGAGAAAATAAAAATAGTTTTCGCAACAGCTAACATGCATGATGATATACGAGCCTGAAGGCAGGGGGGGGGGGGGGAGAATGATGAAATGAACTCACGACTTCAATAATCTTGTGATGTAGATGTTTACTGGTGGGTCTACCGTAGGGTGGGGTGGGGGTGGGGTGGGAGGGTTTGTAAAACAACGGATTGAGTTACCGCGAGAAGTAAACAAAATATATTGTGCTGGTTTGATGTTCAATAGGTCATACACATTGTGTGAGGTCATGTACCTCATGGAACCTCAGGTATCCTGTAAGGTCATCTATCATGTGAAAGGTCATTACCGGTATGCACTAGTCTGACACGCATAAGGTCACATACTGTGTATGAAGGGACCGGAGATGACTGGAATTCTCGATATGGTCACAAGTAGGTCATGGCTTGGATCAACTGAAGGTCAACGGTTAAAGGCCTTAGATCCACGCAAGGTCAAGGCTTGTGACCTTAGATCCGCAGAACCTTTTTTAAAAAGTTTCCCCACGAGTTATCTCTTCCTTGCTGGTGTACCGGAAGTACTGACCAATTAGTCACCGGCAGGAGGTCACGTGGGTGTGGCCATTGGTGAACTGCGCAGCATCCCGTGCGCATATCAACAGACAAATAACATTGTTGATCTATATCTGACCATCAGGTTTGTTATATCAATGAATGGACATTACTATAGCTGCGATAATATCAAACTTAGACAGTAAGTAGAGTGTGGTGCGATCGAAATAAGATCATACAATTCACGGTACTAGCTCTCCTAGTCCCCACCCCCAAAGCCCACCCCACCCCTCACTAAAATGTTCTTCTTTAAAATCGATCATTAATTTTCACAATGAAATAAATAAAGTTTAAACTGTTACCAGAAAGCGACACGTCAAAATATTCTTTCTTACCGTCCAGGTTTTTAGTTAATGAGTCCCGATAACCTAATTAAAATATGTTGCATCATACGACTGTTTTTTTTAGGGACACCCCACCACAAGTCTAAGTATTAAACATTCAAAAACTGTATTAGTTGTTTTTATTTCACTTTAATACAGATCTAGATCTACCTTTTAATATTTTAATTAAATTCAACTTTAACGAGGTCGAGGTTTCAGCCATTCAAGTTCAATGTGGTTTTTTTAATGAGAAGATCAAAACAGTTCTTTTATAAAAATAAATAAATAAATAAACAAAACTTTAATTAATTTAGCCTAATTCCAAAAATACACACATGAAACACTCATTAGTGTATAATTAGATGTGTGATTATTCGGTTCTAAAATAAACCGGGAGTGATCTCCCCTAAACTTTCTCGAAAATTCTTATATAACACAACGGGGGATGGCAACTCGGGATATCGACAATATTTTAAATCCATTTTAATAACTTAAACTTTTAAAATAGAATAGAATCTCGTAGAAAAAAGAATTGCATACCAAGTGAACGCCAAATAAAACGTGTATAATAGTGCGGAATATTATTAGTACTTTATAAATTCACATGCATTTTTTTGAGAAATCGGAAATAACATAAATTAACACTTCCGGTCAACGGAAGTTACTCAAAATTTGATAGAAGTTAGAGAATTAGATCTTTTACTTATATGTGAAACTTCATGTAACTATCTGAAATGGTACTAAAAAATTGAAAGTAGAAAAAGTTCCACTTCCGGTTATCGGAAATCGCTCAAAAGTTGATACGGATCTACAAATTTGATATAATACTTATATATAAAATTTCATCAACCTGTGAAATTCTTTTTTCTAGGAGATTCTATTCTATTTTAAAAAGTTTAAGTAATTAAATATGATTAACTATTGTGTCTGTATCCCGAGTTGCCATCCCCGGTAGTGTTACATAAGAATATTCGAGAAAGTTTAGGGGAGATCACTCCCGGTTTATTTTGTTAAACAAATGTATTTTGTATATAATTTCGCGATATTATCTAACAATATTTTTGTAGTGTTATCCCAAAAGTTTCTTGAATAGATGGGAGACTTCCGTTGTTTAATACTGTTTGACTTTCGTTGAGGTAATATTGACATTTACCACTTTCAAGTTCTTTTCTTTAGTTTAATATCCGGACTCAACTCGTAGCAAGAATCTGTTTAAAAATTCTAAGTTTACGTGGGTTGCATTTCACTTCGCTAAGTAAATTAGACAGCAAGTAAATATTTTCGTTCTTTTAATTCTGGAATTCTTTGATAGCAGACACTGGTCTAACAACAGATACATATTTTGTCTAACTGCAGCAGAAATTGTTGGGACCCCTTTCAAAAGTTTTTAGAACATCCCAAACAATCTCACAGCAGAGGAGATCAGATGTTGC